AAAGATTTGGCTTGGCCCTTTCTGCAGCAAGGTTTGTCCAAGGAAATGATGCTTGAATTGAGATCTGAAGGGCAACAGAAGCTAAGACATGAGACAGAGTGAGCAGGGCAGAGTGGGCAGCAGATGCAGAGGCCACACAATAGGAGGAGCCAGGTAAGGGTGGGGCTCTTCAAGAAGGAAGAAGAGTGTTGGGGGAGTAGGGCTTGATGGGTGGGCCCCATGCAGGAGTTACAGATGAGGCACCTGAAGCTTATGTTATTTGAGCAATGTCACAAAAGGAGCCAGAGCTGGAGTGAGTCTTACAGTTTGGAAAGCCTGTGGCCCTGGTTGACGTTTTTCATGTTAGGTGCTCTGTTCAATGAGGGCATCTGAGAAAGACCACCTTATTAATCCTGATTAAAACATTAACAATATTATGTATTGCTAATTAACCATCTAGAATACATATATAACACCACGCTATGTTTTCTACTAATAGGGATGTTAATTAAGTATGTCCACAATAACCACTTGCATCCTTGTTTCCTAACATGCTTCTGGACAATTTCCCCCTAGGGATATCTCAACAGCAAGAATAACTGCTGCTCTTCTAAGGTGAGAATATCATCTCCAGCCGTAATCATGATGACCTCAGCACGATGACTGTGTGCAGTGCTTCCTAGGGCATACCCTTGCAGATCATTACTGCTTTACACAGAGACACGTACTAGCAACCTCATCTCTCAGTTGAATGTGGGAAACCTAAAATCTTCTAGTAACCCAAAGAAGCCTTTCTTCAGAACCACGTTTGATGCATTTACACTTTTGCATCACCAGTTTTCTTAAAGCCTGGCTTGTTGTCACTTAACAACTCACATTTGAGGGCTGGCTTTTGAACACTGTAACAGTGCCTTTGCTGTCTACATGGGGGAGGGTGGCAAGTATTAGATTGTAGGTTTATATGTACACATTTTTTAAAACCTGGTACTTACCATAGGATCTATAACTAATATTACAAATACCTAGAATTGACTTTGGCTTTCTATACTAGGTCAAATATCCATATTCTTTGGCATAGATGATTCAGGATGATGGAAGCTGGGTAGTGACCTTCAAAGTAGCCTCTTGTCCAGTCACAGTCAGCATCTATAATGTACTTTACCTCCCTGTGCCCTGTGCCAAAAGCCACTTTTCACTGCAAACTTAAATGACCTCCATTTCATTTCTCATTCTCCCTGCTCTTACCTGCACAATGTCTGGCTCCTTGTACCTCCATGACCCCCAAATACATAATCTGTCTGTCCCCTCATGGTTTTTGTCCAGGCATTTTGCTTCCTGCTCAAATGCATCTCACAGCTTTCACTCCATTTTCTTTTTGTGACATTTTGTCTCTCGCACAAAGCCACTGAAAATTTACAGGGTCACTTATTTTATTCTTTCTTGAGGGACTCCAGGGTAGATGTGGCCCAGATACTGAGTGGGATATGGATCTAGACATTGGAATATAAACTTCAGAAGCAAGCAGACCTAGGTTGAATCTTCATTTCACCAATCACCAGTGTACCACCTTGGCAAGTCATTTAAAGTCTCTGAGCCTCAGCTTCCTTAACTATAAACAGGTGAGAAAAGTACAGACATCACCAATTCTCTTGTTGCAAGGATAAAGTACATAAGCTACCTGGCACATAGTAGGTGATAACATTTACTAACTCTTATTTTATTTTTCACAGGGCAGCATAAAAAAGGAAAATCTTGGGCCGGGTACTTAGCTCAGTGGTGCTGCTGCCTGCCTCACAAGCACAAGGTCCTGAGCTCAATCCCCAGTACCAAAAAAAAAAAAAAAGGAAAATCTTGAGAGTGAGGTTAAAAGACCAGAATTCTGTCAAGTCAAAGGGGGTGGGGGAAATAGGAAGGAATGATACTAATTTTGAGAAGTGGGACAGATGATAAATAGATTAAGTTTGAGGAAAGATGGGAGGTTCCAACCTGCTTCACTGACCACAGGCTGCCAGTGTCCCGCTGTAGTAGTGGTGGTCATGGCCTATTTAGGGGCAGGAACACACTGTTGGTATCAGGTAAGCTCTGCATTCCTCTTGTACCAACTCTGGCCCCAGAAAGCCCAGTCCCTTCCCCCTACCAACCAACCTGACTGACCTGTGTCCTTCCAGCCATGAGATTGTTTTATATATGCTCAGTTTCTCCATGAGCTGTTATTTCAACCAAAATAAGTTAGAGTGTGTCACTTTGAATCATTAGGCTACCAGTCAGCTATTTTTATTTCTAAAGCTGAACTTCCACATGACTCATCTGTAGTGTTAATCTCGGCAAGTCCCAAGTTTCATGCTATAAAATTGTGATGGTTTTATTGACCAATTAACATAAGTTAATGATGATTGTTTTTATGAAAGTTGGCGGGTCACTTTCTGGACAGCAGGCTAAGCAATGTCATCTCAATCTTAATCATAGATCATAAAATGTTAGAGCTCAAAGGGTCTCAGAAGCCATGTAGTCCCACCCTCTCACTTAACAGAGAAGGATACTGAGGTCCAGAGAGGTAAACCTCTGGATTAAAATAGCCAGCAAGAGAGTGACAGACATGGAAACACCCAGAAGGGCAGGTGTTTCTTCCAAATAACTCAGTAAAGAAGCTCTGATCTCTTTCTCATAACCACAAAATTTAGGCCTTTCAAATGCTGAGGAGAAAGATGACCCTGGATGGGTTTTTTAAGAAACAATATTTTAAAGGCCAGATGATCTCTAAGATTTTCCTTATTTATTTATTTATTTATTTATTTATTTATTTGGTACCAGGATCAAACTCGGGACCTTGCACTTGCAAGGCAGGCATCAGAACCACTGAGGTAAATCTCTAAGATTTTGATCAACCTTGACATTCTGTGGCATTATGTTGTATGAGATATGTGATACTGTGTGTATAATAATTTACTTATTTGTTTAAATTCTCTCTCCTGGACAGAAATGTCTTAAAGATTTAGTCCCTGTCTTTAGTCACATTTCTTTCAATGAGACACAGTATCTGACATGCACTACTTAAAGAAGGGGAGATTTCTTTTGGTTCCGTTTCAGTCCCTAATTGTCTGGCTCCATGGTAGAAACAGGATGTCACGGGGAAAGGGTGGAGGAAAAGGCACCAACCCATGGCAGCCAGGAAGCAGAGTGAAGAGAAGAGCCAGGGAGGGAGATGCACCCTTCCAGGTCACACCCACAGTGACCACCTCCAACAAGGCCCCACCTCCTATCAGCACATTGAGCTACTGAACTTATCAATGAATGAATCCACTGATGAATATAGTGTCCCCATGATCCAATCACTGTCCACACACATGAGAATTTTAGGGGACATTTTAAATCTAAACCAAAACAGGCTATGTTGCTCATCTTTGTTTTTCCTCTAGCCTTACTTATATAGCATGTGCTCAATAAAAGATTTGCTGAGTGAATGAATGGATGGAGCTTTTTTGAATGCTGCGAAGAGCAACCAGCTCCTTGACATAGAGGGCAAAATGAATTTTAGAGCAGAGTAGACTCTAGACTCCCATTTGGTTTGCATTTGAAGAATGACCAAAGGTATACAGAGACTTCATTTTGCATTGAAATAATGAGAGCTTCAGACTATGTTTTTTTCTGGAAAAACAAAAATTTCTTTAAATCCTACTGGCAGTTTTTAGCTCAAGAAAAGTTTACAAAGACAAGCTGAGATGTGGAACCACCTTGATTGGGAAAATAGGTTTTACAGATGAAGACAAAAGCAGAAAAACATGGCCCAAGGCCAGGGCACAGCTCTTGGCAGCTCTGGCAATAAAATCTGAGGCTTCCAGCCCAGTTTGCTGTCCTGCTTGGGCCTGGCTCACCTCTACATTCTGTGGCAAATCCTTACTCTGCCACAGAGAAATCGGCATGGGAATCTGAGGTCCCCCACTTAGAGAAAAGCAAAGCCGTGTAAGAGGCGTGAGAAAAGCAAAGTGTGAGAGCCACTCACACTTCAGCAGATGGCATTCTGAGTACCCTCTGTGTGCAAGGTTCTAAGCCCAGGCCCTTCAGCCCATCAGCATGTATCTGCAATCTGGTGGCTGTGTCCTCACCTGGACACTCCAATTGCAACTGGCCAGAGGTCCCCAGCTGCTGGCACCCCCACTCTGCCTAGCAACCTCTTGTTCTGAAAGTGAGTAGCAGTGCTGATAGATTTCTTAAATTTACTGGGTCTTGCTCCAGTTGCTGATCTGAGCCATCTTAATTCTCCAAATGAGTTTGCAGCTGCTACTTCACATCAGAAGCATACACCCAGTGCTTTCCATACAGTGCTGGCTTTCACACAGGGCATTGAGGAGTCAGGGGCTCTCTCCCCAGGCAGCAAGGGGAAACTGAATCTGCTCTCTTGCAGTTCCTGGGAGGGAGAGGTGACACACATGGGCAGATTATGGAGAACAAGCCTCCTTGCATTGTTTACAGAGAGCTGCTCCCACCCGAGAGCATTTTCACAGTCCCTCCTTTCTCTACTGCCTCTTCCTTCCTCTCTTCCTCCCTTTTCCATCATCTCTCATTTCTTCCTTTCTCGTTTCCCTTTCCTTCCTTCAAATATTTATTTATTAAGCAGCCACTAAGTACCAGGCATTAAATTGGGGGAGGGTGTTGTGGAGGGAGAGAATACAAAATTTGGTAGAATCTGCCCTTTTTTCAGGAAAAATCTGCAGTCAAGCAGTATAGAGAGGAAGCAAAATTGTGCACAGATGTAACTATCTGAAACCCCTACAGTGAATCTACCATGTGTTACAGGCAGAGCTGCACAAAGCGAGATGTTTCAGTAGAAGAAGGCATTTAAACAAAGCTGGAACATCTAAGAATCTGTCAAGTGGGGCATGGGCCTTGGGCTGGAAGGATGGGTATGACCCTGGATTCTCCACATCCAAAAATGGTCCTTCCCTTTTCTGATGTCTACAGCTCTTCATCTCCTCCCCCTGGTAGCATCTGCATGGTTATGGAGAGCCTTCTCTCTCTTCCAGGAGGCAGGTCTGGTTGTCCCTCTTGCTAATGGGCTGCATTTTGGGACCATTACTCAGAGACTCACAGAGGACCAAGGTCCCACTCCCCAGGGTTTAAAATGTAATGCAGACAGTGACGTGGACCACTATCATCAGGAGCCAGGTAAGATTATATGCACGTTGAAAATGTACCTTAAAATGTCAGCCATCAACATAGAGAGAAGCTTAGTTTTAAAAAAGAGACAAAAGTACTTTGGTGTATAGTTTCCAGTAAGGAACAGCACCTTTGGGGAGGATTTGGGAAACAGTCTTTCAATCTAGAGCCAATCTGGGAGAGTTTTGTGAAGGAATTCGGACTTCAGAAACTGACAGGAAGCCACAGTTTGAGCCAGAAGGTCAGGGTGGGAGGTTTGTTGGCCATATGGAGCTTGGACTGGAGCTCCTTGAGGGTAAAGTCCACGCCCTAGATTCTCTGGTATCATAGGCAGTCACAGTCTGAAGCCCAGCAAGGGCAGGAAACATCTATGAATGAAACCTAGGAAAACAGGCAAAGGCAGGGAAGATAGCTGAGAGTGGGGATCACAGAAAGGGGTCAGGTATATGGGCTGGGATACAGCAGAGGCTGAGGGCAGCCTGGTGAAGGACCTGGAGGAGGAGGAGGGTGCTACATGACAGGCAGTCAGGCTCGACCTGTGGGGATTTAAAGTCCTGTCAGGTGGTGATCATTCAAAGCATGAGCCTAAGATCAGCTCCACCTGTGAGGCAGCCTGTGACTTTGGGCAGGTCCCCCCACTTCACCTGTGTTCCCTGCCTTCTCCCAAGGAGTCCAAGATGGCCATGAGGCTAGACTGGAGTGGGCCTAGTGGCTTGGAGGTAGGAGAAGCCATTGATGTTGCTGAAAGAAGAGAGGAGGGAGATATGAACTAAAGTACTGACAGTGAGGAGAGTGAAAAAGGGAGAGACTCTACAGTCAGGTATCTAGTTTGTCAGGAGTCAAGACAAAAATAAGGGGAAATAGCACTTCTAGCTACTTATTGAGTGTTTAATTTTTGCCTAGTGCTATAGATACATTGTATGCCATATAAAGTGGCATTACTATTGAGTCTGTATCCCATCTTATGGATGGGGAAGCTGAGGCTTAGAGAGGCAAAATGATTGTCTGTGAATAAGGCAATAGAGCTGGAATTTGCAAGCTTGAGTTTTCACTCTCACCAGAGCTCTTAGCCACTGCTTTATTTTGCCTCCCCAAGTTGATTCACTCTTTGGGGGTTTTAAATGGTTTTGTGCCATGGTGCTTCATGAGGGGAAGGGGGCATACTGCAGTCCTCAGGGTTCAGACCCTGGAATCATTCACTGACTGTGTGCAATTCCTGCAGGGTGAGCAGGAGGCCCAGCAGGGGAGCAGTGTCTGTCATCAGAAGGAGGTGAGAGTAAGAAGCCCTCTCAATTGTGAAGTGCTTTCACAGCTTTTGCCTTAATTGATTCACATGAGAGCCTTGGGAGCTTGGCATGGATCTTTTGCAAATCCCCATTTTCCAGTTGAGGAACCTGAGGCCTGGAGAGGTAAAAAGAATTGCTCAGGGCCATCTCAGTGGAACATGGCAGGAGAGCAGAAACTGGTTCTCTTTTTCTGGTGTTCTGCTCCTTGTCAGCATTGTACATGAGGTCCCCAAAGGGTGCCAACTTGCTGGAGGGTCAGAGGGAGTGGGACTAGACAGAGCACAGATGGTTGGGGTCCTAAGAGCTGAGGTGGGAGAGGTTCCCAGGAATGTGACCTTGTCCTCAAAGTCCTGAGCAGGGAGAGCAGCAAAATCAGATGCCCAGAGCCAGAGGACAGTGCCAATGGCAAGCAGCCCAGGAACGAATGAACCACGTGGAGTAGAGTACCCTGTGGGGTCCTCTCTTCAGATCTGAGGAAGCAGGAGAAGGAACCTTTGCCATCCCTAACCTTCCTGGTATCTCAAGTCAAGGGCTGTCCAAAGAGTCCTGCTGATTGGCAGAGTGTCTTCGAAGGAGACAGAATGCTCTGGATTCAAATCACAGCCTTGTCACTTCCAGCTGCAGGGATTTTGTGTCTCGTTGCCCTTCCTGTAACAACTGCTTCTTTATAGTCATAGGTGTGAACCAGTGAATACATATTCCTGATATCAAAGGCATTTCATTTACTTCATGGGCTCCCCAAGTGCTAGTGCTGTGTTGAGTGCTAGGGATAGTTCTGTGAGCCACACAGCAGACAAGACCCCTGCCCTCCTGCATCTGACAGTGGTCCTGACATAACACTCCCACCCCAGCATCATTTCTTTCCTCTCACCTGAAAAGATGTCCACACTCTCCCCTGCAGTGCCCAGCTCCCTGCCAGCAGCTAGGGAGGAGGAGTTGAATCTGATACTCAAGCCTGTTCTGAGCCATAGTTCTTGAGTTAGCAGGAGCCAGAAGGTCTGCAGGGGTGGAACTAGGGATGAAGTCAGGGCTGGCACCCTGGGGCCCTCCTTATCAGGCTGCCCTTGCACTAGAAGCCCAGAGAGCTTGACGGTGATGATCTCACTAGTGTTCAAAGCGTCCGGAGGGAGGCCAAAGGCAGGGCAGAAAGCACTGAAGTGTGCTTGTGGTGACAGCTGCTGTATCAGTGCCTGGCTCAGGATCACAGGCTGAAGGGGTCGCAGGAAAGGTGGATTCCAAAGGCCCAGTACTCCTGTCCAGGATCCCAGGCCAAGTTCACTAGCAGCACAAACTCAACAGGACTGCTTTTGCTAATCAATCCTCTGCACTGTGTGCTAGCTGTTTTCCCATATGGTCATTCCTTTCCACCCTCCAAAAATCAAAAATCAAAATTAATGATCTCATTTGCTAACTGAAGAAACTGAGGCTCAGAGGAGTAAAGTGTCTTGGCCAAGGCCACACAGCTTCATCATAGCAGTTGGAGTGCTGGTTCTCCCTGCATGTCCCCAGCACACAGCACGTGCACAGGGACAAGGACTGTAGTGACTTTTAATCTAGGATGGCTAATGCTATAGGGGACCAAGCTGACCCCATCCCAACCTTCCTCCAGCATCCCTCCAGTCTGGGAGGAGAGGCAGACAGCACTCTGGAATAGCTCAGAGCTTAGGAAGTTGGGGAAGGCAGGGCATGGGGAGAAGCCCAGCACCCTTTTTGGGGATTCACTTCTCTACCAGACGCCTCTCTTTCCTCCTTTTAACACCCCCTTTGGATTCATTTTCTTACATCTCTATCGCCTCCTGTTTCACTCTTGGCTGTTCATTCCAGTGTTTTCCTTTCCTCTTTCCAGTCAGTCTTCCTTTCCCTCCCGCCCTCTTCCCTGCGTTCTCCCTTTCTCCTCAACCCAGCAGCGCCTTCTCTTTGTCTCTCCCTCCTTTCCCGCGTGCGCCCTCCCTGAGCGCGCGCTCCATCTGCGCCTCCAGCTCCATCCCGCGCGCCCCCCCCCCCGCGCTGCCTCCCGGCCGCCTCTCCCCCTTTCCTCTACGCTCTCGCTCTCCGTGATTTATTACTTGCCCTGCTGCTTCTGACAAACTATTTGTAGGAAAATGAGATTTGGTCCTCGCTGGATGGCTCCTCTGGGAGGCAGGCGTGGGGGTCGGGTGTCGGGGGCCCCCGTGCGGCGCCCCCACCCGAGCCCACGGCGCTTACGGAGCTCTTTAAGATAAATGAGCAAAATTAAGAGACTCACTGGGGGAAGAAAACACTGGATGGCAGCGATCGAGAGCGGATAGTACATGGTTTCCTCCCAGAAAGGCACCCACGTGTGCCCCACTGGGGCCTCCCCCATCTGCCACCGACTCCAGTGAACTCCCTCCCCCGGGAAGAACTTCCAGCCCGGGCGCGGTTCTTCCTTCCCCAGGACATGGCGCTGACAGGGGCAGAGACCTCTAGTAAGGCGCAAGCAACAGATTGGGTGAAGCAGCAGGTCTCTGGAGGTGGCCTGGGCCAGGGACCGAGGGGATGGGAGGGGCGGAGGAGGGGAGGAGGACAGCGGCTGAGGGACAGGCTTGGGGCGCTCCAGCGTGAACATGCGGGCAGCCTCAGGCCCCTCTCGGGCCCAGGCTACTTCAGCCACATCCTGAGCCCAGGGGACCACCATAGGGTTCCTGCGCTGGTCTCTGGCAGCCCCAGCAAACCCTCAGGCCTCATATCAAAAACAGACTTTTAACTGCCTTGCTGTCTGGGGACAGAATTCTTGGGTTCTCGGGGCAGGAGGCGGGTCTGTTTGGTTTCCATGAGTGCCTTAGGGCTAAGTCAGTTGGCCTTAAGTATCACTGTGAAGCAAAGGCGTGCAGGAATAGGAGGGTGTCTTGTAAGGCCAAGGCTCTGTTGGGATGTGCATCCAGAACCAGTTTTTTCAGACAACTTTATTTTTCTTAGTTTGAAAAACCCGTGCACTTATCTTTCTGACAAACATTAGGCCAGCAGAGATAAGCATATGGAAGATAGCTAGGGGCGCAGCTCTGTGGTGGGGAGGACCACTCCCCCATGCTTGAGGGGGTGGGTTGGGGCAGCTTCCAGCCCCAGGCCCCAAACTAAAACATGACAAAAAAGGAAATAAGAAAAAAAAATGACTTGCTATTCTACCTATAGTTTGCTATCTGTCCTAAATTTCAAAACATTTATTAAAACAGACTGTATAACAAACATCTTTGACTTGATTTTGCCACTTCATGCTGTGTTATGAATGCCTTATAAATATTTGTTCTAAAACAATTTTAAGTGAATATGGTGCTTCATTCCATGTATTTCTGTGTGTGACTATTTTTAACAAGGCCTGTATTTTCATTCTAAACTTTTGCTCTTATAAAGATGTGCTAACTTTAGCATTCACCAAGTCGATCATCTTATTTTTTATCATAATCAGTGATAAAAGCAGTGCGTTCTGCATCTCTTTAGCTTCATAAGGATATGGTGCAACTTATTTTAACACAGAGGTTGAGAGTCCACTGGGCCTGGTATGAATTCCTGTCCTGGATCATCCCTTCTAGAGGTTTGTAGGTTTTCGTAGACCTCCCAGATCTTCAAGGAAAGGCAAGCTGAGCATGTCTTGGAAGTAAAGGAGGTGGCTAAAGCTTCAGCTGTTTTAAGAACTAAAGGTAATATGGTATTTGAAGATAAAGATTATCCAGTTTGAATCTTTGTAAGACATTTATAAATAAAATGTATGGTAAATTACATTAATGGGTAGAATTAACCTCTGATTGATGTTATATGTGTTATGGGATGATACTAATTTCAAAGTGTCTTAAAATGTAAAACTTGAAAGTAGTGATATCATATTAACACTCTATTATGAGAACTCTATTATTAGTATTATGAGAAAAAAGGGGATTTGAGGTGTAAAGAGCCTGGAGAAAAAAATTGAAATTGTGTGACTTCACACAGGTGACACACGTGATGTGGAGGGTCATCTTCCTCCTTGCAAAAGAAGATGTCTGGATGAGGTCAGTTGGGAGCATGTAGGGTCTCAGAAAGCCTGGGAAAGCGATACAAAATACTTTGGTCACGTGTTTTTTGTGTGCTGTCATCAGTATGTTTGTTGAAAGCAAAAGAAAATGTGCAAATGTTGTACTGAGATTTCTACTGACTTGACCCAATCAAACTGGTCTTGGAGTCTCTAAGGATGCTTAAGATCACTGGTTCTAAACTTCAGTGCCCTGGCTCTCTGAATAGCTCTCTGAGACAGTAGTGGGGTGGGGAGGGAGAGAAGTAAATTGACTATTTTCAACATGTGGAAGGGACTAATTCAATAAGTTGTCTTGGGCTACTAAAATGTCATCTTTCTCTACTTTGAGTTAACTTATACCAACTTGCTTTGGGAATACTTACTGTCTCAAACCATTGCTCTGATTGGCATTTTTTCCAGGTCTTTGATTACTAAATGAAACAGACAACCAATTTTTAAGCCATGTTTATTTTTCTCATCATGTAGGAATTCATAGTTTGGCAAATAAAGGGATGTTTAATGAGACAAGTTTGGAAAGAAGAGTATAGTATTCAACTATAGCTGTCTTTACTGTCTAGCAACCTTTGAAGCTAAATCTATCTAAACAAGAGAGAACATTTCTGACCCTGAATTTGACAGTTATGGTAGGGATTTTCTTTTTTCTTATGCAACATATACATTTATAGACGAAGTAGCAAGTTTGATTGTAGGATACTGTTGTAGATGCCACAGCATGCATTGTGTGGCATTCTTTATGGTAGGGATTTTCTAGGAAAATTCATCTAAATATTTTCCCTTACCCAGATTATGAAGGAGAGAGGTGGGATCTATTGGGGTTGGGGTGGGACCAAAGACATCTATTGATGACTGGCAAGGAGGCAGGATTATGAAAAAATAGGGACCTAAGCCAAAAAAGATGATTCATGGCTGATCTAGCCTGCCAACCCCTGACTTCATTTTATTAGTGAAAAAAGATGTG